TTTCTTATATATTGAAAAATTTCAATTTAATCACCCTAATAAATATTTTATTATTACTCATCAGTTATTCCCAATTATGGTAAAAATCACTGAAAAAGAAGGAAGTGGAAGAATGATGGAATCACTTATAAGGATGATGCAATAATGAAACTAATCATCACTACTGCATCATCTCCCAATTTTCAAAAAATTATATCGTCTAAAGTATTACACCATCTCTCAAGAAGGCATAAAAGAAGACAATGGGGAGAAAAAACCTCAGGTACATTCAGCCAAAAACATAAGCTGGAGGAAAGATACCCTCTTTCACAAATGGTGCTGGGAAACTGGCTATCCACATGCAGAAGATTGAAGCTAGGCCCATATCTCTCACCACATACTAAACTAAAATCAAAGTGGATCAAAGATCTAAGTAATAAAGCAGAAACAATTTACTGGAAGATAAAACAGGTAAAACTTTCGAAGACAGGTGTAGCCAAAGACTTTCTGAATGGAACCACATTCTTATGTTGCATAAGAAATAACACGAAGAATCAACAAATGGGATTATATCAAATTAAAAAGCTTATGTACAGCCAACAAAACACTCAACAGAGTGAAGAGACAACTTACAGAATGGGAAAATATTTTTGCTAGCTACTCCTCGTACAGAGGACTAATATTAGAATGTATAAAGAATTCAGAAATGATAACCACAAAATAAAAGACTCTATCAATCATCAAAGGGGCAACTGAAATGAATACACACTTCTCAGAGGTACAAATGACCAGTAAATACTTGAAAAAAGTTCAACGTCTCTAGCCATAAAAGAATCCAAATTAGAACAACACTGACCTTCTATGTTACTCCAGACAGAATGACTAACTTCAAGAAATCAAGTAAAGGGCCAGGGATTTAGCTCAGTGGTTTTGCCACCTGCTGCGCAAGTGCAGGGACTCGAGTTTGATCCCAGGTACAAAAAAAAAATTTAAAAAGAAATCAAGTAAAAACAAATGCTGGCAAGGATGTGGGGGAAAAGGAAACTTCAACATTGTTAGTAGAAATGTAAATTAGTATAATCACTATAGAAATCAGTATGGAGATTCCTCAAAAAACTAAAAATAGAAATTCCATTTGACCCAGATATTCCCATTCTCAACCTTCTCAAAAGAGTTAGAGACATCGTGTTACAAGGATACATGCACACCCATGTTTATTGTAGCACAACTCATAATAGCTAAATCTTGGAAGCAGCCTATATGTACATCAACTGATGAATGGTTAAAGAAAATATGTTATTTATATACAATGGAGTGCTATAGTGCTATAAAAAAGGACAAATTGGAGTCATCTGTGGGAAAATCAATGCACCTTAAGATGATAGTGTTACATGAAATAAATCAGGTATACAAGCTTAAATATGTTGTGGTTTCTCTTATATGAGAACCCCAAAGTATAAATAAATTAAAGAGCAAAATAAAAGATGGATAATAGGAAACTGGGAGATAAATCTTTTGCAAATGGGAAGGGGACCAAGACCTGGAGGGAGAGGGGAGGCCTGGGAGGAGGAGGGAATGTAAAAAGAATTAAGATGTGCTATGCACACGCACCAACTTCCCACGATGAATGTACATAATCATTATGTAGTGTAAACATGTGCTAATAAAAATAAATTTTAAAAAAGAAAAAAAAATGGTCTCAGAACAATTTGTTGAAGTTAGCATTTGAAAGGACAAGGAGAACAGACATGAGAGAAGAAATGTCATGCAGGTTTTGCTTAGCACTCAGAAAAATGTTACAATGATAGAATAACAAATGCTCTGAGGATCTTGTGAGGCTTTTCCTTAAAACAGTAAGTATTGAGATACTGGGTAATATAAGCATATAAGTTTGTTAGTACATTTCAAAATAATAATTTATATCTACTGTCTATATTAGTCCGTGTGATATATGCTACACTGCATTAAACATTTACACTGAAATCTCAGTAACAACAAAATATTTCTTATACTAAGTACCATACAGATTGTACAGCCTCCTTCTATTTTGTGGTTATACCATCTTAGACACATTGCTTCCCATGTTGCGGCACAGGCAGACAAGGTAATCTATGGAGGAAATGTAGTCACCTCAAGGGCTTAGGGTAGAGGTGATATCCCTTTCATTCATGTTTCTTTGGGAGAATTACATTATCCCCTTCTCTGTGGAAGAGCTAAGAAGTAGTCTTTCTGGAAAGAGACAATGGTACAGTGAATGGTAGCCTCGTTTCTATTACATGTAATATATATAAAACATTCACAAGTATTATCTCTTTCAATTCTTATAATACTCAGAGATAAATAGGGAGGGAATACTCAAGTTTTTCCAGTTGAGGTAATTGTGGCTAAGGGAATGTAGGGAACATTCCAAAGGACATACAACTAGTATTTGGGTACACACATCTTAAATATGGAAAGTAAACAACTGTACAAATTTGTGGTGGAAGACAGTCATTTTGATTTCATGAAACTCTGTAAACTCTGCCTACCTGGTTATATTGAGGTATCTGTTATATCTATGTTGTTTAAAACACTTAAACAATAAATCAAAAATCAGCTTTGTAGCTTAGTTTACTTTATAAACCAATAAATCTACTTCTACTGTAATACTAACAGTATTACAGTCTGCCTACATTTTCTTCCTTCTTGATGGCATAAGCATCTTGAAGACAGGAATGGTATCTAGTTTGTCTTACTCTGCCAGAATCCAGCACAGTGCTTGCAGTCTGTAGGTGGTCCACAAATGCTAAAATAGTCTACTTTGAGCAGAACCTGAGTTGTGTTCAGCAGCACAAGAAATTGAGCTATTTCTTGGCATGGTGTTAGAGATATCTGGCAGTAGTTTCTTGGTACTTTCTTAGAAATTCTCTATGACATGCATGCATGACATATTGTTATAGAACAAAGTCTCTCTTTTTATAAAACTGATGAGGGGGACTAAAATCAAAATTTTGCCTCTTTAATATATATTTTAGGTGTCTGAGTTATCACTTCAGCCTTTATTATAACAGAATCAAGGGAACAAGCTAGTCTATTATTATTCAACATAAAACAATAAACCATGTTGTTTCTCTCTGTGTTTCTCCAAGAGACAAAGTGAGAAATTATACTTTAAGGATTTTCTTTCCTTAGGAATTTTACTGACTTTATAGACTTAATTGACACTGCTAAGGATAGAGTTGTGTATGTCAGTTGATGAAAATTATAAAAGGTGAGAAAAATTCTGTAGTGTTAATGTTCCATATAACATTTAGTTCTAGCTCTTATATTAACTCACTCTGGTACCTTGGTCAGCTTCCTCCCTTTGGACCCCGCAGTGAAGAGGTTGAATGACCTCGTGTTTCTCACCAGAGAACATTTGGCATCTGAGATGGGATAATTCTTCATGGATGGGAGTATCCTGCACTTGGTAGATACCTGACATTCCTACCTCCTCTCATATCCTCCTTGCCTATACTAAATATCAAAAGCATTCTAAGTCATCCAGACAACCAGGAAATGGCTCCTATATTTCCAAATGCACTTCTCCCAAGTTGTGACCACTATACCTAATTATGAGCAACTAAGTTTCTTTGGGTCTATTATTTTTTTATTCCAAGAGGGTTGCAACTATGTCTGTTAGATTAATAATGACAAAATGATAACAATAGTGTCCACTGAGTACTGACTATGGATGCTATGCTAAGCAATGGGTATAGATTACCTCATTCAATCTTAATAGCAAAACTTAAAAATGGATTTTATTAATATTTCTATTTTACAGCTGAAGATAGGGAATCTTAAAAAGATTAATGACTCAAGGCAACACAACTAATAAACACTGGGTTGAAGATAAGGAACCGATAATGAATGAAAAAGGAATGAGAAAGGGGAAATTAACATTTATCAGATACCAATTCCAAGTGTGCTCTGAAGTCTACCTCCTATCTTAGTGGATCTCTTATAACAACCTTAAAATATGCATATTTTATTGTTATTGTATAGGTAAGAAGGGTAATTATCAAAGTGGTTAAAAATTTGACTATTTGACTTTATTTCCTTTTTGCTCTCTGTTGTTCCTATCATGAAGAGCAGTAATCAATTTTCCATGAGGTTATTATAAAAATAGCTTACAAATGGGTCCTTTTAGCTCCTGAAAAGTAGAAATATGAGGTTAGCTTCTTTCTTCCCCATTCATTGGACAGAAAAAATCATGAAAAGGATTAGAATTATTACTTAGTGAGCAGTCTATTTGTCTGTGGGTTTCATTAATTTACTCAGTGGACACTGACCTGGCTATGTCTCCCTCTGCCTAAATCTTTAGGCTTTGTATTCCTCATACCTGACCAAACAGCTTTTCTCTACCCACTTCTTGAGTACTTAGGGTCCTAAAAGGATGAACCTATTTTCTTTCTAATGTTTCAAACTGACTGCTATGAACAGTAATTTCCTCTTGATTATAGGAGATGAAAATCTGATACTTTATTTGTACAGTATGTTCTTGCAGCTAATGGTAATAAGAAACTGATGCCATTGGCTTATGGATTTCTGTGGCAATGACTCAGAATAACTGCTCAGAGAGTAGGTGACTCATAACTAAATCACCAAATGGCTCTGCTGCACGCCCTCTCCTTGGCAGGAGGATGGATGTAACAGCTATTGCATATTGGAGCACATTCTGTTTCCAGGCTTGGAGAGTGTCCAGCTGAAAATCACTCCTACTTGAAATTTGTGGGAAATCTACTATAGTAGCAACACTTTTAAACTGTGGAAGCAAGATCTGCATTTGTGTAACATCATCCAGGCTTCAGAGTTTGGAGCTCCCTCTAGAAGGCTATGTGAGAGCTTTTGCCACAGCCCTCCAGAGAAAGGACATGCTTCCTTACTTTGACAGTAGGAAAATCTGAGTCAGAATTATATAGCAAAAAGCTATTCTCCATTCATGGAAGTAAGTGCCACACTGGAAACTATTATAGTCAAGAGGTGGAATCCAGGACTAGAGATGCCAAATGTTATGCAGTTAATAAACAGCAGTCACAGGAGCCCCAAACCAAGGTCTAGGGATTAGCAGATTTTTAGACTACTGTGTCAGTGCTTTGCAAACCTTATTGTGCACAGTGACAAAGAAAAAGAATTATTATGGCACTTGCTAAAATGGTAATGAAGATTTTATTCAGGACAATTACAATAGAGGTATTACAATAGTGGAGAGACGTTGGGCTCAGGTCCAAATACAAGGAGGACAAGGTGGGTTTTGTAGCCAAAGAGGAGAGGGAGGAGGTCATTGGATGGGAAGTTATTAAGAGGAGACATCAGGGGTAGAGAAATTCCTGCTGAACTGACTTACCAGGTTTCTTTCTAAAGGAAAGGTAAGAATTTATACATGAAAGGTATAAAGAACATAATCACATGTCAAGGGTGAAGAGATTCTCTCTAAAGTAATTCTCTCTAAAGCAGGATTTTTGCTGCAACTGGGTTAGGCAGGTCAAAGATAAGTCAGTATTAGGTCAGAGGAGCCTAATTAAAGTTTGCGCAAATAGAGATTTTGTCAATAGAAAGCAGCAGGAATTGCTGTCAGATTAATCTAAGTCAATCAATCTGATACTGTCCTTTAGCTGAATATTTGCATCTTTTATATCTCTCAGAAGATGTCCATCCTATAGAACTTAGGACCACATTTTGAATAGCAAGTCTTTAGAGTCCATTGCCACACACTACCCTGGACCACTTAGTCCTTTAGTAGCAGGAACACAATTTTGGTCACCTATGCTTTTGATACGAAAGCAGCAGACCAGCTCACTACTTTATCCTAGCTTTGCTTTTTTTTTTTTTGCTCTTTTCCTTTCCCTTTCCCTTCCCTTCCTTTTCTCTCTTTCTTCTTTCTTTCCTTTCATTATACTCATCAGAATACTAGAACCACACGTCAGTAAGTTACATCATGATTTAGCTAGAAGGTGTTTACTGATGGACACTGCTCAGGATTAAAATTAACACTGCTACCAGATAAAAGAATATTTTCACTGTGATTTCTGGGTTATCTGTGCTGTTGGTGCCCTGTCCAAGTCAATATATGGAAAGATATTTATGTGGCTGGTGGCTCGAATCAACAGGGTTATGAATGCCAAGCTGTCAAGGCAGCTCTTCATTGGCATTCTTGACATCACTGGTTTTGAAATCCTTGAAGTAAGTATATTTGGTAAGAATGAAGCCAATCCATATTCATGAGGAGTTTAGAAAATATGACTTGAACATGGGAAAATAAGCCCAAAGCATTATAAATATCGGAGTCCAAACCTAAGGGCTGCTTTGGTTAGAAAAGAGCTACCAGTAATATTAATAGTAATAGTCATTACTATGGAGCAAGGGTTTAGCTCAGTGGTTCTGCCGTCTGCCTTGCCAGTGCAAGGACCCAAGTTTGATCCCCGGTACCAAAAAAAAAAAAATACAGTAATAGTCATTACTATACTTAATATTAAAAATTAAATTTTTATTCCTCAGACAAAGGTCTACTAACTCGAATCTATAAAGAACTTAAAAAAATCAGACCTTCCAAATTTAAAGATCCAATCCAAAAATGGGCATCTGAAATGAACAGACATTTCTCAGACAAAGAAGTAGAAATAGCAAATAAATACATGAAAAAATGTTCAACATCACTGGTCATTCGAGAGATGCAAATGAAAACAATGCTGAGATTCCACCTCACTCCAGAAAGAATGGCTACTATCATGAAATCAACCAACAACAAATGCTGGAGGGGCTGTGGGGAAAGAGGAACACTGCTCCACTGCTGGTGGAAGTATAGATTGATGCAAGCACTGTGGAAATCAGTATGGAGATACCTCAAAGAACTAGGACTGGAAGTCCCATTTGACTCAGCTATTCCCCTGCTGGGTATCTTCCCCAAAGAATTAAAAGAATCATACCACAGTGATATATGTGCACCCATGTTCATAGCAGCACAGTTTGTAATAGCAAAAACTTGGAAACAGCCCAAATGCCCATCAACTGGAGACTGGATAAAGAAAATGTGGTTTTTTTATAAAATGGAGTACTACTCAGCCATCAAAAATGAGAAATTAGAAACATTTATTGCTAAATGGATGTACATTGAGGCGATACTCTTAAGTGAAATAAATAGGACACACATGTGTAAATACCAAATAGTTTCTCTAGTGTGAGAAACTGAAAGTGTAAAAAAGGACTAAAAGGTATAATAGATAATGTGAAATAGGAAGAAAAGGGGCAAAGGGGAGGGGGAAGTGGGAGGGGTAGGGGAAAGGAAAGAGGGGAATGGAATTAATATGAGAAAATGAAAAAATGGAAACAAAGTCTTTGTAAATAGGTAGGGATGGAGGGGTTGAAGGGAGGGTAGGGGAAGGGGGAAAAATAATAACCAAGAAAGTATGTAAAGGTGCATATCTCCAAGGGTGAATGTCATTATGTTGTACACCTAAAATGTACCAATAAAAGGATACACAAAAAAATTAAATTTTTAATTTTATTTAATTTCTTAATTCAGCCTTAAAGGTAAGCAGAGGGAAATAAATCTTTTGTGATTCTGAATTATAATTCTATTATGTGTTATTTTACCCTAATAAACTTTAGTTTCTAAATATATCAGAAGGAGACACAAATTAGATTTAGCATTTTTTTTACTGATTGGGTCTATTTGGCATCATATGATTATGGTTATGAGTTTACCTTTAATATGAATTCTTACAAGTGAACCTTTTTTTAAATTTTTTTATTTTTTCAGGGGAAAACTTGCATGCATTTATTTTTAAGAATTCCCAATAAGGGGGGAAAATTCAACACCTTTAAAAATGTGTTTATTTTGTTAAAAAATCAGTTGTGTACAAAAAGTGTTTCATAGTTTTTAATTCTCAAGACAAATACCCAACCCTCCACCCACAGCCCACCCTGCTTCAATGGTATTTCTGGTAACCCACCCATTTTCCCCTTACAGGAAGTTAATGGCTCAGAATAGACCCTCTACAAATGATGTCACACATTGTATTTGCAATATAGATGAAAAAATCTTGTGGCATAGGGGTAAGGGAGTGTTACTATCTCCTTTGTCCTTCTTTGTTACTGCTTTATTGGTCTGATCTAGTCTCATAAACCTGCATCATCACCTACAAATGTAAGTTGTGAATATGCCACCTTTTGCTTGGTTATTTCAACCATGCTGCTATCTATAATCAGGTGTGGCATAGCTTTTTGGTTTGGTCTGAGTGTGAGTGGATAGAAGTCAAGGCACTGTGCTGTGAACGACCCTTATCTGCTTGCTGTAACCTATTTTTTTACAGGCATTGTAATAAAAGCTAGACTATGTCTTTGGGGGAAAAGAGACTTATTTAATGTTATTTAAAGAATTTTCCAATAGAAAATGAAATACTGTTGAAAATAATAATCTATTTTTTAGCTTTCAGCAATTGATGGTGCTCTGTTGTGGTGTCTGCTGGAAGTCAACTGCCATTATAGGGATTCTCATTAACCTCACTGAGAAAGAACCTTGCTTGTTAGCTTCTTAGATCTCTACTCTAAACAGTCTGTTAGTGATGATAAATTCTGTAGGAGGGTCTATTGTGAACCTTTATTTTTATCTCTTCTTCCTACATGTTCATGTCTTTGAAGTGTAATAGCTCTGAGCAATTTTGCATTAATTTTACCAATGAAAAACTACAACAGTTCTTTAATCAGCACATGTTAATTCTGAAACAAGAGGAATACAAGAAAGAAGGCATTGACTGGGTGTTCATTGACTTTGGTCTGGATTTTCAAGCTTGCATAGATCTCATTGAGAAGGTAATAAATGATTTTTTTCCTTGTCCATTTTCACTTAAGGAAAATTGTCTTTGCTTGCCATGTTAATCCATGTTGGGAATCAGCTTCTGTCAGGGATGGGAAATGGGACTAGAAAGCCTGCACATTTTCTCTTGATAGTCTTTGCATGCAGCACCCATGGCATCCTAGCAAAGCTCTTACGTAGATTGCCTCATTCCATCACCTCTAATGAAGACTGTTACTGCACATTTGCAGCTTGCAAAGCCTCCCCCATTTATGAATGAGGATATTTGGTGAGATTAAAAATGGCTATGCTTTTAACCAGGAAAGTCACAGGACTGAAATGTGAGCACTATAGGGCCTGGCTGTTTAACATAAGGTGAATGAGTAGACCCAGAGAGACTTAAGGAAATTTGACAAATTCGTATGCAAACAACTGCTATGAATCCTTAAGGCCACTACCTTGCAGATACAGTTCATTCATTTAATGGGACAAGTACTAGTTAGTTTAAATAATTTATGACAATATTTCATGGCATATTAATAAATTAGCTGCAATGTAGGCTTCTGAATTTAGTGATGTTGCTGAGAATTCTGCGTGGTCTTTTCTGGGGCTTCATTCCCGGAGCAAGCATGGTAGTATGCCATCAGCTACATCCCCCATGTTTCTTGCTGTGATCATGAATTGCAATGAATATTAGAGATAAATATGGATGGTCCAAAGCCTTATACTTTTTGTAAGTTCTCTAGCTATGCTGTCACATTTTATTTTCTACAACCTTGTCAGGAAGGAGCTAAGGGACTGACCCGTCATTGTCTTCTGCAGGCTTCAGACTTTATCAATCAGTGTCATATCAATTTTATTTTATAAGTTTTAGGTGAAACTAAATCTTTGTCTAAAATAGCTACTATTCCTAACAGAAATGAACATCACGTTAATTTTACTTATTTTATAATCAGTGAACTTCCTGGAGGAAGACAAGCTAAGAAAAAAATATGGTAATGGAACCACTATGAGGTGTTTAAAAGTAATAGTAAATAACCAACCATAATCTGGTAAATGTTTTGTGGCATCATAAAAGCTGTGGTTTTCTGATTAAAAAGAAAAGGACAGATTTAACTTCTGGACACGGTGATCTGTGGTATCTGATTACTTTATGATAAAATGCTATTTTCTAACATAGAAAGTTGGAATATAGAGATTGTTCAGATCATGAGAGATCTAGGAACATCATTGATTTTTTACTTTATCTGAAGGCTATTGCACGTTTATGCTAGCTTCAGTTGTTCCAAGTAGCACTAGCAATGTGGATATAATTTCCCACTGCATTTTCTGCTGATAGGTAGTGAGAAAGGATTACTGACCAAATGATAGAAGGCAAAGATAAGTCCTTGTTTTCCTAGAAACAATTTCAAAGAAACTCAGGTCAGGTAAATGAATAGCAAAACCTTTCTTGAAAAGATTTTGTATTTAAAACAACTTCCATTGCATTGATTTGGGCTCTATGAAGAAAACTTGTAGTTAATATTAAAGAGTTAGTCCTTGGAAAAACCATGGAAAATTTTTTAAATTCAAAAGAATTAAAATATATCCATAAGCATAAAATATTTTAAAACATACATTCTTTGTGTATATGTAAGGAAAAAATTTTTCTAGTGTTTTATATTTTAAAGTTTACAAAAATTTATCTCATACTGAAATAATAAAATATTTTAATACCAATTTTAGTGTTAATTTGGTCTTCAAGTTCACAGTGACTTCTATATATAGTCTGTGAACAAATCTGTTCCAGGATTAGCTTACTTGAAACATTCTAGTTTGCTTCGAATTTGAGTCAAAATTCACATGTTAAAGTATTAGTGTAAGGTTATATCTTTATGGCTATTCACAAGGCATTAATGAGGAGATTATTTCTATTTTTTCTTAACAAATATGCCCCCCAAATTATTCATCTAAAAATGTGTTTCTGCTTCAGTGTAGTAACCTTGAAAGGTTATATCCTTCTTCCAATAATTCAATTTTTTAAAATTCCCTCTCAGTCTTGGGACAAGATTTTAGAATTTTATATCAGCCTTAAGAGAAAATTGGCCTTAGGACTTATCATCTTAGTAGATTTTGAGTCCAAACCATGTTACTTCCTGGATCACATTATTCCCCATATGTGCCCGAGTTGACCTGAATAGTTTGATATAATCCATCAAACAGCTGGGATTTTCCATGTATGATATCAAATATTTCAAATGAAGTTCTAATATAGTTTAAATCCTGGTACCTTTTAAGCATTAAATAAATGTTGCCTCCCAAGAGAAGTTGTGTGGATGTGCTATTTTTGCAATGTTTAATATAAAATGGCTTATATTAATCTCTAGCTATATCTTGTATGCACATGAGTATTTTCTTTAAATATAAAACTCCATGCTTTTTGTTGTTGTCATTGTCAACTCTCTCTTTTTGTTGTTTATTGACAAAAAGCAAAGCAGCCCAGGTCCCAGAACTGAAACCTGTTCACATCTGAACAAGTGTCAGTGTTCATGTATAAATTATCAAGAAGTTTGCTGAGAACTATACTTTAGACACCTCAGGACTTACTGTACTAAGGGTTATGAGAAGTGCAAACCCCAGAAGAAATCATTCTGTCACTTTACTCACTCAAGGGACTTCTACTGTAATTGGAAAGATGTATCACAACCAAAACTTCTATTATTTTTTAAATTATTAAACAACTAAATTGGTTTAGCCACTACTTGTCTTAAATGCTTCCTTTTCACCCTGTTAATGAGGGAAGGATTCCTGCTGTACAGTTTTGGGGATGGCTGAACATAGGACATCAAACACTGGACAGATGAGATCAGTATTTAATCAGTCATAAATGCTCATATCCCCAGGGAGGTAGATGCCCTATACCAGCAGGGCCTCATGGGAGTTGCACTGAAAATAGAGTTAATAAGCAGGATCTATGGGAGGCAGGCTTTGTTGTAGGAGTAAAGTGGGGTGAGCTACATTCACAGGAGGATGTAACAGTCATGTTTGAATAATTCCACAGGCTGACAGAAAATCAAAACTCGTTACTTAGGGGTAAGTAGGCATTGTGCTATACCAAGTGTGATGAAGACTCTGTATAAGACTTTGAAAAAATACTGTAGAAAATGTAAGCATTTGTTATAAATAGTTTTTGCCCTTAGAAAGTATCCACTCAAATGAAGGTTTCTAAGACTAATAAATGTAAAAATGCATTTAAAAATCATTATCTACATTACAAATACAATAAAAAGAACAGATAAAAAAAAAGGGCCCAAAGTAATCGAAAGAGCAGAAGTCACCTCTTCTGTAGGAATCTGGAAAGGCCTTTAGGCAGAGGGATAAAATTTAGGCTAGATCTTAAGGAATGGATACAATTTTATCAGATGAAGATGGGAAGACAATAAGAGGCTAGGAGAACAGGGAGGAGGAAACACACAGACAGGAAAATAAAGGACATGTTCTGAGATTCTATGTAGTCTAGCTGGAGCAGAGAACATGCAGAAGGAAGTACCTAGAATAAAAATGGCTGAGATAAATTATGAAGGGATTTAAATATATACTTTATTTTAAAGTAATGAATGTCAAAGAGCGTTCTGAGCGGGACAATTGAGAAATCAAAGCACTTTACATTTAATCTGGTAGGTTTCTGCCTGATAATCTAGAAGGGGAAAAAAGACTAAAGTTAAGAAAGGTAAGAGCTGGAATAGCAGTTCAGCTGAGAAATGAAGAGGCCCTAAACCAGGACAGCAAAAATGCAAGTAGTAAGAGAGTATAAAAGGGTGAAAGAGATGAAGGCAGAATTGATATTTGTCATGGTTGCTGAGCCACAGTACCTGACACCCGCAACTTTAAGGGGGAAAGGTTTATTTTGGCTCACAGTTTGTAGAGGTTTCCCTCCATATCCCCAGGCTGCAAGGCAGCATGACATGACAGAGGTGTATGGCTGAGGAGAAACAGTTCATCGCATGGCAGCAGGAAACAGAAAGCAATCAAGGAAGGAGGTGGGTAAACGTATCCTTCCAGGCCACGCCTCCAGTGACCCACCTACTCGGAACAGGCTTCACCTTCCTAAACAACACGAAGCTATAAACTCATCAGTGGACTAATCCACTAATGAGTATCACACCCCTAATTATCCAATCACCTCCCCAAAGTTCCACCTATGAGTACATGATACTTTGCGGGGGGATATCTGGTTATAAACTATAACAATGTTTAAAAGGGAGAGGTCATAGTAGTTTTAATCTAAATCAAGGCAACTGACTCAAACCATTAACTGTGCACTATTAGATAAATGATGCTATGGGGCAAAAATAATTACCTTTTACCCAACTGTTTCAAATTAATTTGTTGAAGGATCCTGTATTTATTGTAAACTTTATACCTCCTGACCACCTGAAAAATACAGATGACTTCAAAGAAACTTTTCTTCCCTCTCTTCAGTGGTATAGTTGTTATGTTTTCAGGTATGAAATCTTGTTTTATATAAAATTTCTATTCACCCAAAAGTAACAACTAGCTTAATTGGGGACCGAGGAAATGGAGATTCTCATGTATGGGAAATGGCTCTGTTTGAGGTGGGGGCTGCTTCTCCTTATGAGGATTTGCCACAGTCCTCTTGTTAATAGGTGCCATCTCGAGAGATGCTTAATTTTAAAGTTATTTATTGTAGTTTATACTGAGGGTTATAGACATGTAGGAAATACATGGTACAAAATAGAGTCCATGTATCTTTGAGTGCACACGAGTGCATCAGCTGTTTATTTCATGACATTCCTCCTTTCCCTCCCCACTTTCTCTTTCCCATCCCCTCCCCCATTTCTAAATTTGCCAATAACTCACAAGGTCAGTGTGGTCAGGAGCAAGATGTGTGTTGGTTTCATTTGGAATACTTTGTCCTCACAGTAGTTCACCTCCTCACTGCCTGCATCTAGATGCTTGGGGTGAATGCGATGCCTAGAACACTTTAAGAGATATAGCTGGATGGTGGTTTAATACACTTTCTATAAAATCCAGGCTCCAGGTCCATGAGAAAATACAAACGAGACAGAAAACTGTGGTACATATATTAGTCATAGATAGATTGGAAACATGATCTTCAAATATCTGATGAGCCACCACATGAAAGAAGAATGAGACTCACCATGGAATAATTTAGAATAAAAACTATTACACTACACATTCAGAGCTACATCTCAGAGTTGATGTGTTCTCCTTCCATGAATATATTCAGGCATAAGCTAATCTACCTTTTAGAAGAAAATTGTGAGGGAAATTTAAGAATCTTCTCAGCATGGTAGACAAGATCACCAATATATATTTTTTAAACCTGTGAGTCTCTGGTTCATTAGTTACAAATGATTGGTAGAGAATCCTGAAATCCATGCTGTGGGGGCAAGTGGTCATGTTGTTTGCTATACTATGGAATTCTCATAACATTTTATCTGTATGTTTGTTTTGCTGTCTCTATATAGCATACATGCTTTGTCTTCTCAGGTGGGTACTCTGGAACCAGAATCTATGTCATTCATCCTGGTATAACCCAATGTGTCTGATACAATGAGTTGATCTTGGAAGGCACTTCACAATTATTTGTGGAGCAGACAAATGATGTATAAATGTTCAAATACATTGGCAAATGTAAGAATCCTTTATTTTCCCTCACTCCAAAACCTGTTTTCCCCTCTATTGTTTCCGTGTGTGTGTGTGTGTGTGTGTGTGTGTGTGTGCATGCGTGTGATGGTAGTATCCAATACCTAGTTGCTCAGTCAAGAAACTCCTTTTCTTATATCACACATTCTAATTCAGGAAGTTATAAGCCAACTCTACTTTTAATATACATCACATTTCTAATGACTTCACACAGGTGCCAACTTATGACTAATCTAGACAAGGGGTGAGCAAACTGTGGCTTTTTAGGCCAAATTAAGTCTATAATCTGTTTTTGTAGATAAAGTTTTATTGGAAAATTGCCACTCATTTTATAACATGTTAATTTTGTTTTCAGCCGAGTGGATGGTAATGGCACAATAGAGACCCTATAGCACTAGAGAAAAATGTGCTTATGGTGGTCATAAGGTTTTTTGTGGCATATTCTTTTTTGTTTTTACAACTCCTTAAAAATATAAAAACATTCTTACAATCCACTTTTCCCAGTCCTGTTCTAAATTAGTCATTCTTTTCAAACACAATCACATCAATTCATGTTCAAAGTCTCCAAAGGGTTCTCATTTCATTTACAATCCAACCATCCTATTACAATCTGGAAGGTCTTTAGGATCCGGCTGCAATTAACTCTGTGACTTTTTCTCGTACCATGTGCTCTGTCTGCCTAACTGTGCTCTTTCCACACTTGCTTCTGATGAGGTCTCAAACGTGCTAAGTGTGCTTCTGTCCCAGAGCCTTTGCACTCTTCATTTCTCTTCCTCCAATTGAGATACTGTACTCAGCTCTTTTGAGGTTGTTCTTCTCATTCAAGTCATACAAGCCTTACCTGACCAGCCCAGGGAAAGTTGTGCCTATCCAGTCCCTGCCCCTGGTCATTCTCTATCTCTTTACTTTGCATGATTTTTAAGTTCACTTATGTGAAACTAAGTTATTTCTTCTTTCTAGTTTTTGTTTACTTGCTTATTACCTGTCTGCTTCACTAGAATGTAAGCACCCTGAGGACAGTATATGCCTCACTGCTATACCACCAGGATCACCATGGAATCAGTATTAAACTGTGGGTATCTAATAAATATTTGTTAAATAAGCAATACAAGTTACATGCAGTGAATATTCTCTTTGACTACACATTAGGTTCTTGAGAAGGAATTTTTTTTTTGGTACTGGAGATTGAACTCAGTACCTTGTGCTTGCAAGGCAGATATGGTGCCACTGAGCTAAATCCCCAGCCTTTTTGAGAAAGAATTTATACTGATCCTCTACTAGAACTTTTCTGGTGTTATCAAAAATCTACCACTCTCATGCTTCTCCGGCATCCCATGGGCCTGCTTTCCATCCTTGAAGAGGAATGCATGTTTCCTAAGGCTACAGATATGACTTTCAAGATGAAACTCTTTGATAACCATTTTGGAAAGTTGGTTTATTTCTAGAAGCCCAAGCTTGATAAGAAAGAGAAATATGAAGTTCACTTTGAACTTGTCCATTATGCAGGAGTGGTAAGTTACCTCTGGACTCCCAGTCTTGAATTTTCTTGATTCTTTCAAATGCACTCAAAGTCCTCAGATAATATTTAAGTAAAATTTAAATTAGATGAAGAGGTAAGTAAAATACATATAAGTTCTAGAGAAAAGATAGTAAGACTTTTAGTGCTCAGTAAATGAAATAACCATACTATAAAGCATTTCACTGCACAAAGTTCAAAAATCTCAAAATGGACTCAAAGCAAGACTGCTACAGAAAAGCATGAACACCATTGAAGTCATGTTTTTTCTTTATTTATCCTTGTAACTCAACAGCATGAAAATTAATTATTTCAATTGATCTTTATATTCAGGATTTTTGTTTTGTTTTCCCATAAAGAAAGATTCAGTGCAAAAATAATGGTCTCCAAACCATGGCCAACAAAGGATTCTAATGACCCTCATTACCTCTCATTTCTCCACTTGTGTGTGTGTGTGTGTGTGTGTGTGTGTGTGTGTGTGTGTGCGTTCTGCTTCTAGTCAGTAGCTCTGCATTGAAGGGAAAGAAAACAGATAAAGGATAAAATAATATGCCATCCTAAGAATGACCTGCCAACTGTCCCATGAAAGGAAATTATCAATTAAAAGGAACAACTTTTAGTTCTTTACTTTGATATCCTGGAATATTAAGTATAATGATATCTATAGTAAATACCATTATAGTTGCTAATGTTTGTTAGTGCTTACTGTGTGTCAATGACAGTTGGATTATTTGATCAATTATTGCCTATGAAGGACTACTGGGATGCATCGTTTCTAAAGAAATAACATTTAATCCTCCCTCCCCTGTCCCTTTCCCTCCTCTTTCTCCCTCGCTCTCCTGTTACCCTGTCTCTTTCCAGTCTTTCTTCCTCCATCCTTCTTTTAGTTTCTTTCTTTCTTTTGACTCTACAAATGGTAAAGCTTGAAAATCTCTTTGGTTGGCCCAATGGATTTCTAGAGTATTACTTAGCACAATTACTTCAAACTCATTTAAAATTAAAGAGCCAACATATTTTGTGATTTTTTTCCAGTAACACACAATTTCCTATGTTAATTTATATATTTTCTCCTTTTTATGTAATGCATGCCTTTCTAAAGGTGCCTTATGACCTCAATGATTGGCTTGAAAAGAACAAAGAACTTCTTAATGAAACAGTGGTGGCCATATTTCAGAAATCTTCCAATAGATTCCTGGCAAGCCTTTTTGAAGATTACATTGGAACTGACTATGGTGAGTCAATATTCCTTGATTTCTCAGTTTCCTAATGAAACTCATCAATACTTCAAATTTTACACAAATTCTTGCTTCTCTTCTGTGATATCTGTTTCTGCTTCCTGTGGCCTGAATCTTCTCTTCATATTAGCCTTTTTGTCTTCAGGCTGGTGGTTTTTCAGGAAAATAATAGCTGTGTACTATGAGAGACATATGTCAAGGAGTCTGTTTTTGGTCTGCTTTTACCTTCTTCTAGACCTAGGTACAAAGACAAAACAAAAAAAAATTTAATTAATGGTTTGGGGGCAATAATAAGTCCCAAACATATATGGTAAATGACAAAATTATAACAAATCTAGTTTTACAAATCTTAATTGGCTTTACTTATGATTCTAGAAGAAGGCAAAAATATGGATCAAAAAATGGTTTATAATACTCTAATTCACCACATGAGCAGGTTGCATTTCTAACTAAAGGAAATGGCACGCAGAGAATGGAAGTGAGGTATAAAGACAGCCTGGTTCATCATAGATCACATCAGTTTTATTTGAACACAGTTTGAACAACTTGCTGATACTGTTTGGATAAGACTTGGCTATTTCTTTAATGTATAAGATACAGTCTGCTTTTATATCAAGTTAGGTGACAGTTCTGTGAGACCAAAGTAACTCCATTTTGCTTATGTGAGACCAGAATGACTCCATTTTGCCCAAAATGGAGTAGTCTCCTTTGTCCTCTCACATTAATGATTAAAATGTGCTTGATCTAGGACAAAAGACACAATCTGTAACACAAGATTCCTAAGTTTATTACTCAGCCATCTGTTTACCCAGGAAATTAACATCCTGGGCCCACTATCTGTAGGAACAATCTGTCAATGAGCTGACTGTCAGTACTGGGTGGTCTTGACCATTAGTCACTGTGTCTGCTGACCATCAATACATGACAGTTGCCCACTAACCTTTGTCCTTCTTTTCTTTTGTAAAACTTATACATAATCACCCCTTACCCCTGATGAGTTCACCCAATCAGAAATGTACACTTCATGCATGTTAAGCGCTGACCAATCATTGTAAGTGGAAAATCTCCAAACCTTGCTGTAACCTCTATAAAAACCCCGCTAATTTGGAACTCAGGGCTCTCAATCTCGATCCGCTGTGTCGGTGACAATTGAGAGTCCCTGCTTAAACTTGAATAAACGACCCTCGTGTGCTTACATCGGAAACGGCTTCCTGGTGGTCTTTGGGACTTCATAATCTGGGCACAACTGTTCACTATGTACAGAGAAACCTTTAAGCCAAGGTTAAAATGTATGGAGGCAGATTTTGGGCAAACTGTGTGTGTGTGTGTGTGTGTGTGTTTTAAATATATATTTCCTAACTATGATTGAACTCTTCTTCACAGCACTCTGTGCACTTGGGATTACTATAAGCTTCTTGAGGGCAGGGATTATAACTGACTTATTTGATTTATTCAGCTGTAATCTCTGGCTTGTAGTGAATTCCTGCTTTGGAGGCATTCTTTAGATATTTATTGATCAACTTAACAACTAATTTTGTCTACTACTTTGTCATGCACAATGTACTTTTAGATAGTTTATCTTACTTATTCCTTGCATGATCCTTTCAGGTATATACAGAGGAGACTTTCTCCCTACTTTATAGGAACAAGTACAGATGAGTTAAGAGTGGCATCTCCAATTTTATAAATCTACTAAGTGACAAAGTCCACAAAGAAAGCAAGAATTCTGTTTCCTAACCTGTTATCTATTCTATTCTCCTTATTTCCCAACAACAAAAAGAACAGAGAGATGGACAAGTTTAAGATTCACACATTTAGGATTCAACAAACATTTCTGTATATTTTTCAATGGATTTGAAGATACTGAGCCCAAGTTGCTAACACCAACCTCCCAGCTGATTAACGTTAACCACAGAGGCAAACTCTTCATCATACAGCAAACGTTGCAGATTGTCAGCCATCTCAGTATTACCTGGGCTTCAAACATGTTTTATTTAGTCCAAACAAGTTTAAAAAATCAAAATATTGTTACATATACCTGTGGATTTCCTTTTTTCCTTTAAGAGATGGAAATTATAGGAAAATAGAAAGCCTGTGTTCAGATTCACTCATAGCAGTAGGGCAGAGTGTATCAAGTGTTATTTAAATAGGATGTGGACTCTTACTTTCTAACATCCTTCTTCCCTTTTTTGCCTTACACCCCACTTCCTGTTAATTTCTAGCTCCTATCAGGCTTATTTGTGACTCCTGATTGACATGATCAGGGAATGGAGAGAGAAATTAGCCCTTCCCAGAATCTTTAGCACATGATGACATAATTCAGGAGCATGGTTGAAATCCCCTGGACCTGCCACAAAAGGAGGTAGAGAAATGGAAATATTGTGTTTGAGTTCTGCTAATCTTCAGGTGGTTCATTTGCCTGATTCTAATATCTTCTAAAGTGCTTCTGAGAAGTCTGTTAGGTAGTGATCACATAAGCTTTATGGCTCCCAGTTCAGTAATTTTCTGATCATAAGAGCTGAAAGAATGGGGTGGTCAGAGAATAGAAAGAAAATTGTCTTCTAACTCTTCAGGATGTATACTTATGTTCTTAGGAACTAGATGAGAATTGTCCAGAATGCCTTTATACCCCTTTTCTTGTATTTCTTTCTTTAAGCCAGCCCTGAATCTACTTACTTCCAAGTTTTAATTCATCCAAACATTAAATTGCCTCTAATAGCCATACTTTCTCCTAGGAAATATCCAAGTAAATCCAAGTACTTTAAACCAGAGTTATAGGGTTTTTAAATTACAAAATGCAATATTATTCCTCTTTATTGGATGGAGAACACTACAATACAAAAAGGTCAAGTGAAGGACCTGGAGCCTCTCAAAAGGATACAGTGATTGGTGATTAGGTCTCATGACATCTGCCTCCCCACAGTGGCTACTCAGGCCCAGAGAACATTATTTTAGTCTTTCCATGTTAATAGCTGGCCCATTTTTTACAGATTCCTATGGATTTTGTCTTTGCTGTCATACATTTTAATGAGTTAGCACTACGCAAATATTTGTAAGGCAGTTTGGCTTAGCATGGTTTCTTTTGTTTAAAAAAATTGAATAAAAGAATAGGTTTACTTTTTAAATAAACTATGAAAGCAATAGATACTGCAAGAAACACTGACAATATAGAAAAACTAAAAAAAAAGGAATGTAAAAAATCACCTATAATCCTACATAGAGAAATAACAACTATTAATATTTTGATATATATCTCTCTCAAGATTGTTTTATGTTTACAGTAACTTGCAACTCAACCAGGCTTAAAAACTGTGTACACAGTCAGTATCATAATTTGTAAAATAGGTAAAAAAAATGTAGGTAAAAATCTACTTTTCTGTTAAAATAAATCCTAGAAGTCTATGCATATTAGTTATATGGATCCATGCCATCATTTTAAAAGTTAGAGTATAGTGGTACCTCAGTTCCCAAATTTAATTCTTTCCATGATTCTGGTTACAAACCGAATTGGATGAGAATCAAATCAAATTCAGTGAGTAGTTTCAATGTTGACCTTATGGAGAAAATTTGATTCAGTTCTTGTCTAATTTGGTTTGTGACCAAAATCATGGAAAAAAATTAAGTTCATGAATTGAGGTACTGGTGTATTTCCTTGTACACATATTTCTTCATAATCTAATTAGCAAAGTTTCTGTTGATGGACATTGTTGATTAATTTTATTCTTGCTTAACTTTTTTCAATGAATAATTAATTCTTCAGGAGTATTTTTCACAATTATCTGATTATATCCTTATGGAAAAGTTCCATAGACATTTTGTGTTGAGATATAAATATTTTTGAAGACTTTGGTAGATATTGCCATATTGTTCTTAGAACTTTCATGTACTTATTTTTCCATCAGTGTCTGTCACTGTGACAAAGGAAGTTTTTAAAATATCTTCTTTTGTTTTTTAAAGCTCTACAGTTTGGAGAGAAGAAACACAAGGAAGGAGCTTCATTTCAACTGGTTGCATCTCTTCATAAGGTGATTTTTAACTGTATCTGTTCATATATTAACTGTTGTACAATCATTATTATTCATTTGATTTTTCACATTTCTAAATAAAAATAAAGTATCTAAAGTTATCCAAGGTGGAAAAGTTGAACTTTATCTTGGTATTAATTCAAGACATTAGAGGATACTGTTGGTGCCCGAGCTAGCTTCCCTTCATCAGTTTTGCACTCATCTTCCAGCTGATGTGAATATTGGCTCATAACACCACCCAGGTGCAGAATTGCCTTTGATCAAATGGGAAGCTAAGCTGCCTCCTTGCCCTCCTTTGCAGACTTTGAACCTTCCCTTTTCTCAAGAGGGATCAACTGTTGTATAATTGGTGCATTTGAGCTCATAGGTCATGCAGGGATCAGACTGAAGCTGAGTCAGCATCATTGCCCTTTTTTGTTCCTTGCCCCACTCTACTTTCTTCACTATCCAAATATATCTTTTGAGTCAGAATCCCCTGCTTTTGAAGAATCTGACCTAAAATAAAGATTTTCTATGAATAGAAAACTAAAAAAATTGATTTCTTTTTTCAAGCCATTTTATTGCTTAGCCATAAGTTATCACTATCAAACTCAAAACAGGTGAAACAAATCACAATTGAACTGTCTGTCAGATAAATATTGACTTGCCATAGAAAAGAAACAATGCTTGTTGGTAAGCAGGGGATAGTGTGGAAATCATCTTTTTACTGTTGGTGTATGGGGTAAGTATAAGAGGAAAAGATTTAGATACATTTCTGAGACATGTTAGTGACATTGTAAAGTAATTTTGTGTTTATTGGGTCTCTATTTTAGGGAAAACCTCAATAAATTGATGACTAAGCGGAAATCAACAGCACCTCATTTTGTGAGATGCATAAATCCCAGTGGGAGCAAAATGACAGGTAAAAACTAGACTTGTTTTTAATTCACCCCAGGGAATACATCTTATTTCAGCTATGTTGAATGTTCTTTTACAAACCATTTACTGGTTCCTTTTCCATAAGTGTATATTTTCAGATAGAAAAATGAAGTTAAGCTTAATGTGAGGTCTTTGGAACCTCCTCAAGGCTACTTTTGCATTGAGATTCAAGGGGATATACAGAAGGATTTCATAAAGCAGGCTCAATTGGGTAATAACAGAATGCTTAATATTTCCTTAAATTGCATATTTAAATGTGAATGAGCTCCTATGCTGTGTTTAAAAGGGCAGAATATAGTAAAAATGAATTGAATAATCAGGGGATTGAGATAGATTATTCAGCATAAGGATGTTATTTGGTCTGAATTTATCATGAAGATACTTTCTAATCCATTTCTAATTGTTAAGAACTCCCTCTAGTCTTCCTTCCCAGGACTAACATCTAATAATACCTATATATTTAGTTATGCACTTCTGGGCAGTAGATTGTTTTTTGGTGAATTAAGGGTGGTAGAGTGATGATGGGATAGAAGGGTGATAGTGAATTTATTCTTTCTGTTTTTAATTCTCAGTGTTTTATTGACATCAACTTCATAGATTGCTTTCCTTACAGCATGGATTTGAAGACTCCTAGCCTCCATAGGGCATTGATTAGAGGCTATCAGCCTCACAGAAGCATATATGACAAGCACTTAAGTCTTCAGAGCACTAACCACCCTTGAAGTATGTAGCCAGATATTGCTGATTCTGGTTTCTGCAGGTCCATATGTCCTGTATTTTATTACCCTGTTATAATTAAGAACCCAATCTGGACTGTCTATGGCCTGTTTGGGGAAGAAAGTGTGATACCAAACAATGATACAAGTTTTACACTGTGAAGATTTCATCTTCATCTGCAGGTACATATTTTTGCCTCACTGTTTCTTTTCAGCTAGCTGGGTTTCTGGGTTTAGTATTGTTTTAGTCTGGAGTAATAACCTAGGGCTTCACACCTTCTAGGCAAGCACTCTACCACTGAGCTACATTCCCTCCAACCCTCAGCTGGATTTCTGAATGCATCTAGGGACACTGCTTCCACCTAGCAAGGAATCTAATTATCTACCTCTACTTTGGAACAATTCTGTTACCTATTAGTTGCCTTCCATTGAGTCAGCTCCAATTTCAGTAATTTTTGAAGAAAAGCTTCATCATCTAACCAAAACAATTCTGCACATACTTAAGTATTCTTCATGTACTTAAAGGAAATAATTGTATTTGACCTCAAGGTGTCTGAAGACTCTACTTTTCTGCCCTTGTTATATATGATCTGTTTTTGTGTATGAAAGGAATCAGAGTACAGATACATATGGCTTAAGGTTATTTCTGTGATGCTAGATGTAGCAGTCAGAGCAGGCCTTTTTGCCTCTTGTGTTCTTCCAGATGATTTGTTAAAAGCCAGTTACAGTGGCTCCTTTAGTGGTTTTTCAAGGGGTTCTATCAGAGACTGCAGCTGACAGTTGTAAAAGGGCTCTTTTGATGAACAAAGAGATGAAAGAAGGATGCTTATACTATATAATAAAGCTGAAGTGCTGACAACATAATAAGGGGAGAATGAAGGCCAGAATGTGGCCAAGTTTTTCCAAGAAAAATTGTAAACAGAATTTTGTGGATTTTCCATTCCCTTTTGTTCCATTCACTGTGTATGGAGATGGCAGTTTCTTTGCATGTTATTCCCCTCTCTACCTCATTTCTGGTTGACAAATGGATATGATATCAGCATTTGCATACTAGCAAAAATGTAAGAATTTTTATCTTCCAGGAGTATTTCTTTATACAGTCTTATTTAACTGTGAACTCAAGCACTTGGCATGTTCAAAGAATTTTTGGTAAATCATATTAGAGACTCTTGTGTAGTTGGATGGATACTGTGACTACTATCAGGCTGCAAGAGAACTCCTATAACCTGTCACAGAGAATGCACCTAAATAAAGCTAATACTTTTTAACTCAAGAGGGAGCAATCAGAACACAATCTGGGGTAATAATTTTTTGAGGCCCAGACTCAATGTGATTAATTTTTTCAGGTGTAATAGACTCTTCCTTCGTTCTACACCAGTTGTGTTGTAATGGTGTCTTGGAAGGGATTAGGATATACTGTGAAGGTTTTCCAAACAGAATGCTGTATGATGATTTTAAACAAAGGTAAGCATACATTCTAGATACCAAAAAGCTCAATGCAGTCCATTCTGTCTTCCTCTCTTTCCTAGTGTTTAGGCATCATTGGTTAGTGTCCTCCAGACTGAAAATCCATATGTTTTGGTGGGAGTGAGATATATGATGCTATATGATGGCAGAGTTCTATTATTGTTTCCCCTTAAGTCTGATACCCATGCCATTGTAATATTCTTAAATCTCTATTAATGGTTAATAGATGAACATATAGATGAAATATACACAGAACAAAGATATGGGGCCTGAATTGCATTTTTAAAATTTGTATATCTTAATAGTTGCTGCCACCCAAGCAGGCTGTCCCTTCTTTAAGAAGGCTGCAAAAAGAAAGGAACTGGCAGTATATGTGGAAGGAGGCAGGAGAGAAATCTTTGTTTTCTGTTTTCCAAATTCTAAAAGTGTGAATTATAGTCATGAATTGAGCAAAATGTGGTAGAGTATAAAGAGTACCTGTTTAGGAACTAAAAAGCATTTTTATTATTTTCTGCCAACTCACTGTTAGTGTGAAGAAATTTTATGTCTCCGTCTTCAGTCTCCTTACCCACATGGGTAGAGATAGATACTGATGCCTGACTTCCTCTCCCTGTTTTTCCTGTCAATTCCTCACTTCCTAAGTGAGCAGTAATAAAATGGAGTTGATCTGTAATACACTATGAAAAGTACAATTGTACCAATAGTAGAAATTATTGCTTATAATTACATTGTTGTTAGCAAGAATTTTGTGAAAATTGAACATATTGGTGGGAGAGCTAAATGTCTGTATATCCTCTTTCACCTTATTGGCCCAGATTGATCTTCATTTGAGTCATAAGATCATCTGATCCTATTTTAAATTAGGTACTGCATTCTGAACTCTTTTCAGAGAGCAAGTTTGTGAGCAGCAAAAAAGTAGCTGAAGAACTACTTGGCTACTTGGAGATAGACCATACTCAGTTCCAGTTTGTAAACACTAAGGTAAATAGGAAATTTCAAGGAATACATTTGGAAAAAAGTGGGAATGTGTATCTTAAAATATCCATGAACCTTCACTTAATAATATAAGGTATTCTTTAAATCTCAAGACCAGAAATAAGACTGAGTTCAGTTCAAAGTGGAAATTTCAATGCTGTTTGAGAAAGAAAATTTAATGCTTCATAAGCCTCAGTGTGACTACATTTACATTTTTTACAATTAGTTATCTAAGCAAATTTGTGACATGTAAAAACACTGGATCAGCCTTATAGTACTAGAAAATTTGTATAAACCACAGCAAGAAAAATGGGAATCAGCTTCCTGGAGTTAAATTGATTATAAACTAGTTCATACACTGTACTGTTTTATGGAATAAATTTTAGAAGACTATCTGAATAATTTAATAACTTTAAAGTCAATCTAACTATACAGAAAAAAAACTAAACCAAAGCAAAGTTCCTTACATGTGATTCTCTAAATTCTACTTTAACTAAAAGACTCATATATTTGGGGAAACTTCTCATAGATTTACTCTTATCTGATAGTCAACATCAGGTCATTCCTAGTGACATCCACATCACTATGGATGAAGATGAGTAGGAGGAACCAGAGTGAAGAAATCATAGAAAAAGAACTCTATGATTTGTTTATAAAGTAGTACTTGACTCTTATATTTTGAGTGCCTGGAAACCAGGTTTTGTTTGTTGTTTCCAATGATTTTCAGTAACGGTGCCTTATATGTTTGGTTGTTTTTGCTGTATACCATACATCTGGGCCAGAACACACATGGAACAAGTGAGGGTGCTGAAGCACATATATTAAGGGCATATTCACAGTCAGGCTTGTGCACATGAGAAGAGATTGTACAAATACTAAAGGGATGCTACTCACTCTTGGGGTTGTGTAAGGTACCTTTATGGAGACACCCTGCATTTTTCCATGAAATGTGGACTCCAGCATCCTCACTCCTCTCAACTTTGTTGTTATTAATTATTCTTGAAAAAAAGTTATATCGTGTCTTTGATGCATAGGACAAAGGTACCTTCTTCTTGAGCAAACCCAGAAAATTATAACACAAGGACCTATAATTTTTAATAATATTTTTTATTTTAAAAATATTTCTTGTTTGCTTAAAATCTTAAGGAGTTATTTTTAAAAATAAACAAATGGGAATAGTCTACAGGATTTTACATTACCCTCATTACCTAGAGATAGTAATGCTCTGGTCCTTTGTAGAAAAAGTTTGTAGACCCCTTCCAGACACTTTGGAGCACTGCATGCCTGGGCATATCTTAAAACTTAAACCATGTTCTCTACATTTTTAATATCTAAGGGGAAGGATAGGATAAGTTATTAAGTAGCCAACCTACCACAAGATTAAATAAAATGTCCTTAGCAAATTTTAGATTTAGAAAACCATATTTTCCAGGACATTAATTTTACACACTAAATAACACCTGAAAAGAAATAAGACTGATATAGTTGTCCCCCCATGTACCTCAGTTGTTCATAGGGTCACTCAGTGGGTGCTTGCATGATACTTAGGATGAATGAAACTAATATCTGACTTACTTCTTTTAGGTGTTTTTAAAAGCAAGCTTTCTGAGTCAATTGGAACAAAAGAGAGATGAGAGACTTTCCAAAATTTCACATTGTTCCAAGCTAGAGCACAGGGCAAAATGATGCCAATCAAATTCCAGAAGACTGTCAAAGAAAGGTGCGGTATCTCTACCCTCTCTCACCACTGCTGGAGGAGCCCATACCTCAACTAACATGACCTTATCTCATTGCTTTACAATTGTCTGTGGCAAAGAGCTCCTCCTCTTCTGTTTAGGCAGTCTTAACTTTGAAAAAACCATGGCACACCAAAAAAATAGAATGCAAAGAGATTTATTGCCTTTAGTCATAATTTCCATGCTTCTCTTTGGGAGGGACTGTTGATCCTCTACAAGTGTGGATATCTGAAGGTAATATGACTCAGTTTATAACAGACACATGGTATCTCTTATATGAGAAAAGCAAACAAAATAGAATAGAGATAAATAGGAAATAGGGAGAAGTTCAAATACTTCCCCAAACTAGAAATTCCATTGTTTTAAAAGTATTACAATATATATTCTAATTGGCTTCATTTATACTACTAGTTTATCTAAGTTGGTTGAAAAGAAAGATTTGTGTTATTATGTCTCTTTTTTGTATGAATCTTTTTGGTTTATGTCTTGTACTCTGAGTAACTACTTTGAAGATAATGGTACACACTATAATAACTATTGTTATTCTCTTATTATTTAATTATGAAATTTTGTTTAATTTTTTCATAAAAAAGAAGACCTGAAACAGTTTGCATATATATCCCACAGTCAAGTCTGTGAGGAAGTCTGTTTCAAAGTAGGGAGGTATTCTGACCACTTTATTACTTCTCTCAAGTCCGAAGCTGTGGCACTTGGCAGCATGTCATTATAACTTTCTTACTTTGTTTCAAGGAGGGCCATTTAGGTGCAGTTGTTTTTCACTACTTTGGACATTTAGGTTTAGTTTTGTCTATCCTTTAATGGAATATTGAAAGAAAACTAGCAAAATTTCCAAACAAAGGAACTGTGAGCAAAGGATTCTGCAGTCCTTATGTTATTTTCCTTAGAATTATTTTTCATTAAGTTTCTTGGTGAATTTTAGGTATAAAATACAGTTACATTCATCATTGGGATCTTGTATCTTTACATGACATATCTTGGTCCTTATTTTTTTCCCATTACCCTGCTCTCCCTTCACCCCCTCCACCCTTCCCTATTTGCAAAGACTTTATTTCCATTTTTTTCTTTTCTCATATTTTTTCTTTTCTCTTCTTTCCTTTTCCCCATGCCTCCTACTTCCTCTACACCATTAGACCTTTTCTTCCTATTACACAATATTGATTATACATTTTTAAAATTACAGTAGCAAAATTTAGAGGACATTACCACAGATTGTATAGAATTTAAAAGGATATTGAAAGCATATTACAAAAATCTTTTTTGAAATAAATTTGACAACTTCTAAGAAGTACCTTGGAAGACAAATT